TTTTTTTTTTTTTTTTTGGTTTTTCGAGACAGGGTTTCTCTGTGGTTTTGGAGCCTGTCCTGGAACTAGCTCTTGTAGACCAGGCTGGTCTCGAACTCACAGAGATCCGCCTGCCTCTTTAAAGGACCTTTTGTACTTGTGAATATTCATCTCTACAACCCCTGAAAAGTTTAATTTAACTCTACTAAGATGGCAGTCTAATTTATAAATCTTGGAAAAGTATAATTTTGGTAATTTCAGATGGGGTTAGGTGATTATTTTAAGTAATGGCCTTTAACTAAAGAAGTCCAACAGTATTAGTTAAAGAGCATCAACTTACTCTGTAGCTTATTCTGTGGCTCTGACCTCTGCTGACCTGTACACAGTCAGGGTGGGAAAATCGTCGCTGGGCTCCAGAGAATTAACCTGAGCTCCTCCTCATTTGTTTACATTGAAAGAAAAGGGGGGGAAAAAACAAAGGATTCTCTGACCTTGGACAAACCTTATTTTAGACAGTAGTACCAGAGTCTGTAAATTGCTCAGGTTTATAGTTTAAATAGCAAAGTAACAAAGAAAAAAGCATCAAGACTTAGTCAACCACCTGTTTTTAGCCTCTGTTTAGCCCCCAGACTGTCCTTCCAGCGCTAACACATGGTGTGGGAGATGGATGATGTCACTCTTCCATATCCCTTTGTCAGTCAGCTGGCTAGAGCTCAGGCAGAGTGGCAAAGGGGGACCAAAGAATTCGACGGATTTAAGCCAGCAATTCATGCTCCCATCACCAAAATGAGAAAATTGAACAAAGGTGCAGACCCCTGAGAAAGCACATTTAGCAAAAGTATTGGTTCTTGTATCTTGAGTGACTGGTGTGCCAACCCCTTCATCCTGTGTACCTCCCTCATTTTACAGCATTCAACATCCTGGTGAACGTCGGAGTAGTGCTGACATACCCAATCCTCATCTCCATTGGCACAGTGCTCAGCGTCCCTGGCAACGCAGGTACTGGTACAACGTGCCATACGCGCTCGCTTTATGCTCTGCCTTGGAATTACGTCTCTTCCTTTGGAAGATGTTTTTAGCTATCTCGAGGTGGAAGACAGCAGAGTGCGCAGCAGGTTTTAAAGCTGAGGCTACAGAGGCACTGTTTTACTTGGACGTGGTTTTAGAATTAAATACCAAATGTATCATTTGGGTTTCATGTAATCTCCCTGACGACCTAATTTCGTGGGTATTTTTAGAGGAAGTCCTATGGAAACAAAAGGCATCGCAGCACAGGGCTGTGAAGCCAGCATCACTAATGAAAGTGCAAGCGATGCACAGGGTGTCGGCGCCCCATGAGAGCATCCTTGGGGAGCCATGGACACTCTCGTGGGGGCTGAGCAAGCAATGCAAGGGTGTCGGCTCCCCATCAGAGCATCCTTGGGGAGCAGTGGACACTCTCGTCGGGGCTGAGCAAGCAATGCATAGGGTGTTGGCTCCCCATCAGAGCATCCTTGGGGAGCCGTGAACACTTTCATAGGGGCTGAGCAGGTGGCCCTCCAGGAAAAGCCATTTGTCTCACTTCAAGGCAGAGAGGAAAATCTATTAGTGTTTTTCTAGGACGTTTCTAGTGGAACCTGCCACTGAAACTAGTCACGGAAATTAGTTCTCTGGGTTCAGTCATTTTGACTTTAAAATTCTTTGGCCCCAAGTCTCTAGTAACATCTTTCTTTTCTTCAGAACAATTAGTCAGTGTTTATTAAGCACTTACTATGTGATCGGGACTATGTATAAGAAAAGAAAATAAATTACATTTGTTGTTCCCTTAAGAAACTTACAGATGAATTTGGAAAAGACAGTAGACATACACAAAACAGGACCTCTACAAAGAAATTTTTTATTAAGTGTAAAATTGTGTGAGATAGACTCCAAGGGCTGTAAGATATTCAGAGGAAAAATGTCAGACAGAAGTGGAGTTGTCAGGAAGTTCATTTATTCATCCATGGATTCGTTTATGCAACAAATAACTTCTAATGTCTTAGCACATGTCAGGAGCCATGCTGATACTGGTGACAGATCCTGACTGTGGCACAGTTTCCACCCTCAAGACCACGAGAGTGGCACAGAGTGGGAAACCAGAGGAACTGAATAACTCTAGCACGCAGAAACAATTGCTCTGGTGGATGTTTGCGCAGAATGCACTGAGCACACATAGGTGTGGCACTCTTTGCGGGAGCCCTTTGTACAGAGGTCTAAAGAATAGCTCAGCAGAATGAAGTGGGACGCAAGGATATGGCGGTGGGGCAGTGAAGCCAGCAACATTGTGAGTGTACTAAATACAGCATATTAAGGCCAAAACAAGAACAGGTTTAACTCATTTAAAAAAAAAAAATCAGTGGTCCAGTACAGCAGAAGAAAGGTGAAAGCATGCCCAGGAAAAGTGCTTAGAAAGCAAACTGAAGACCTTCCTGGCCCAGTTGCATGGACTCTGAGCTGAGCCTTGAACAAGTGCGGATCACAGAGAAGGAACAGGACGCAAGCGTGACTAGCGATAGAGAGTAACTGTGGTATTTGGAAGTCTTGAAAAGGTCTCTGGTTTTCAGAGACGCACACAAACAGCCATAGACGGGTGTGATGGGTGTGGCGGGTGTGACAGGCGTGGTGACGACAAGTGTAACTGTGTGACCTTTCCTTCCCTAGCTGTGGACCTCGTGAAGCAGGAAGTGATCTTCAACGTGGTCCGCCTGGCCGCCACCATCATTATCTGTCTCGGGTTTCTTCTGATGCTGCTGCCTGAGGAGTGGGACGAAGTCACCCTGAGATTTATCAACAGCCTGAAGGAGAAGAAGAGCGAGGAGCATGCAGAGGACCTGGCAGATGTCAGCGTGCACCTACGGAGCAGAAGCAGGGCCAACGGGACAGTGTCCATACCGCTGGCGTGAAAGGAGATGACATCGGGATGCACATGTGTGTATATTCTGTGAATATAACATTTTCTCACTACCTGTACACTCAAACGACAGTATCAGCTCTGAGTTTGAATAAACCATATGTGAAATATTGCCAACAATAAAAAGTTTACATTTATATGCATATCAAGGAACTGATGTAAATAATCATAATAAAATTTTTTATTAAAAATGCATTTCCTTGTTTTGTTTATCCTACTTGGAAAACAGTTCACACAAGTTCATAAAAATAAGAGGTTTGGTTAAGTCATAGACTCATCATTTTCTTAAGTGTAACTGAGACCTTCTTATTAAGAATTAGGTGCCAAATAGAAAAACCTGTGAAACAGCAGAGAAAAACAATGACATCTTGAAATCTACAGGCAAATGGATGGAGCTAGAAAACATCATGTTGAGTGGAGTAACCCAGACTCAGAAAGACAATTATCATATGTACTCACTCATAAGTGGTTTTTAAACATAAAGCAAAGAGAAACCAGCCTACAATCACAATCCCAGAAAAAAATGAGGACCCTAAGAGAGACATACATGAATCTAATCGACACGGGAAGCAGAAAAAGACAAGATCTTCTGAATAAATTGGGAGCATGGGGACCATGGGAGAAGGTTGAATGGGAGGGGAGAGGCAGGGAGGGAGCAGAGAAAAATGTATAGCTCTTTAAAATCAATTTAAAAAGAAAAGAAAAGCCTATGAAAACAATAGATATTTTATATTTACTTCAGCCTGGAAAGTCATTAAACAATACCCACAGAGTCCTTCTGTACACACGCCTACACTGGAATGGCCAGGACATAAAGACAGAAAAGACCCAGCTGAACTCTGCATACTCAAGAAACACACTGACATCTTCACGAGAGAGACATTGCGCTGGAGAAGAGATGTGGAGACCTCACAGATCTCTACAGTCCCTCACCACCAAGTTCCCTGAGAGAATTTTCTATCCTTCCCATAACTCCACTTTGTACCCCTATTCTTTCCTGAACCCACTACCCTTCACCTTCTGTCCCCACCATTGCTCTAGAGTTCCCTTCTCTCACGTCAGTGAGGGATCCTCTCCAACAAAGTCATAGTGGCAATCCCAACTCTTTACTCATTCAGAAACAGTTGATATGATGATCTTCTACCTCCTGCCCTGCTAAAATAGCCTCAATTCTTGGACCCGCCACCTCCTTGTGGTTATCCTGCCTTTGTCTTCCTAGGCTGGTCCCATTGCCACCAAGGTTCTCTGGTCACACTTCTTAACTGTCTCCTCCGGGTTCAACTTTTTCCAGTGTTGATGACTTAAAAAATTCTTTTTCTGCAAACCAAGTTTGTACTTGGAGCTTTAGATCCATTAGGATCTCATCAGCTCATTTGGACACCTCAAATGTTGCAAAGGCAGACTTAAGTCAGTACCCCTCTCCAGACCTAGTCCTTGCTGCTTCCTGTCTAAGTTAATGACATCATTCTTCAGCAGCTACCCAAGCCAGCGGTCCGTCTCCACGCTTGCCTCTTCTCTTCACCGACACCTAACTAGCAGCCTTGCCTCTCTGTAGTCTTGGTAGAGTGACTTTCTACTACAAGTTTGATTCTATCTCCACTCCATAAAACACTCCAGTGGCATCTTATTGGACACAAAATCAGATCTAAAGATTTTGACATATCCTCCAAAGCTCATCATTGCCCGGCCTTGGCTAGTTTATATCGCAGTAATTGCCGCTAAAACGTTCTATGTTAATGGAAGATATCCACATCTTCCATACCTGCTAGGATGTTCTATGATGACGGGCATTGTCTGTATCTGTCTATATAGTCTCTGTTTATGTAGGGATGTATGTAGCCCATCACGCTGTCTGAGACGGTAGTTATGAGCGGCTATTAAAAACCTTGGATGGAGAAACTCTATTTTCCTTTTTATCCATTTACTATGCGTTTCCCATTCAGTTACCATGTTGGAATCTAAGCAGAGAGCCTGGACACATGACGCTTCCATGGTACTATGCCTCTTGTGGTCATTCAGTTAAGCCATGCTGTCTTTCTTATGTTCATTTCTTTCCCTCTCTCAGTGCCTGAAACATGGTACCTTATTTACACCCCCAGATATTACCTACAGCTGTTTTTCTAAGGAGTCTTTTCTTACCCCCAGTCTAATAATGTGGCTTAAGTAAGCCCCGCTGTAGTAATGACTGCCTTCTTTGTTACTCAGCTCTCTTTGGCTGTGACAAAAATATCATATCTGACAGAATCAACTTCCACGTAAGAAAGGTTTCTCTGGGCTTGCCACTCCAGAGCTCTCCGTCCACAGATATTTGGCCTTGTTGTTCATGGTGGCAGAAGCACAAGGTGGAGGAAACCTGATCACCCATGGTAGCTGGAAAACAGAGAGAAAGAGTCCAGAATTCCCATATCCCTTTGGAGTCAAAGCCCAGTGGCCTCACTTCCTCCAATCTGTCCCATCGCCTATGGGTTTCACTGCCTCTCCATAGCGCCCCAGTCAAAAGACCATCAATCATTGCGATATACTTGCTCAAACGCTAGCCCTGTCTATGCTCACTGCCAGCCTGCTGTTCTGGGTTTCCAGCAGACCATGAGCAGGGCTATGTGGCAGTCATGGTTGTGTTCCCAAGTTTTAGCACCTGCAGACATCCCATAGCCGAATGCGCACTCAGCAATGTGTTGGATGTCCTCGTGCCTGAACTGTTTGAGGTCAGTCTTAGTGAGGGACAGATTAGCACAGATAAGATTGGTTAAGTCAGGGACTAAACGACGGCAAGAGCACCACAGTCTCATTTTTCTTTGAAAGGCTGCTGAACTGATAAAAGGGACTTTGACCCTGAGAGGTTGGTTCTGCCTCTAGCACAGAAGATATTCTGTGCTTCACGGGAACTTTAGGACAACAAGTCAAGCATTTATGGTCTCTACCCCCACCACCTTCGGGTTTTCTAAACGTGTACGTGAACCAATCTCCAGGCAAGAGAGAGAAATTCCAAGTGCCTTGTTGGCTGGGTGTCATAATAAAAACTTTAATGTATCAAATCTTTGATTTTTCTGTTCCTTTTGGAGGAGGCACTGCCAGTGTCCTGGTATAGCTAAATGACATGGTATTAAATCAGATAACGAACATGTTAAGCTCCAGGACATGTTTGTAGCTTCGTGAACAATAACACAAAGGAAATGTAATGTTGTTAATACATTGAATTAGTTCCTTATCTACGGATAGTCACTTTGGGCTATTTAAATGCCACATTGATGCAAACATTGTTCTTGCCTCATTAAATTACTGTTAAATTGTAGTAATCACTGCCTAATTCATTAAGCTTGTGTAATATACATGACATTTAAAATTGCATTTTGACAACTTTAAGCAACGAGTTCTTTTGGTCTTTAACGTGGTTCCTTTTGAGAGATGGAATCCACTGCCCTAGAAAGCATTCATTCAATATACGGTGAGCTCTTAGAACTCAACCTGTATGGATCCCTGGAACTAACCCAGCTACTCGAAGAAAACATTTCCATTGTGTTTTTCACACATTTACTCACTCAAACGTTATTTGTTGTTTGGAATTGGCTCTTATGTGAGATGGTTATCAACTGGTCCCTGCTGTTCTCTAGCACTGGAGGCCAAGATTCCTGTAGTCTTAGCACTAATCTATATCTCATAGACAGGGAGGTGGGCACACAGGGATTAGGCTGCGTTGTAGGCGCTTGCTACCTCCGCAGGTAAGCTGTCACCTGACAAAGCAATAGCTTCAAACTGTACTTAGATCACCCTTAGGATTAAAGGCCTCCCCTTTAATTCAGGCACTCAAAAGGAAGGACAACACCTTTCCTTGTTGCCACTCACGGTCATCATGAGAATCAAAGGTGATGTTGTATCTTCAGTAACTGGGCAAATGGGATTGTGTCTGTGTTGTGCCTTAACAAGCCAGCAGCTGGATCGTGGAAGACACTAGAGGAAGTCAGACTAGCCCCTGCTCCGCAGTCGGAAGCACCTTGCTGAGTTCTCGTTACGGAAACATCTTTCATGTCTATAGTCCCCGAAGGCAATGGCTTCTGTGGATTACTGAGTGGCCAATAGAGTTCAGGGAAAGAGTGTCCATGTATGAATATAACATGCACTTCTTCCAGAGAATATTCTGACAGATGAGTCTGATGGTAGACTCTCCCTGGGCCTCAACTTCACAGTCAGTTAAATAAGACAGTACTGTCGCCTGAGATTACTGAAAATTAAAATAACATGTGGAGATCTTAACAGAATGCCAGAGTCAGAAACGATGACCATGCAAGGGCTTGTCTTCCTTCCTCTAAGTCCTTGTCACAGCCTTTGTGTACAGCTTGGCTCCCAGGCCCGTTTTTTTTTGGCCACTAGGCTCATGGCAGGGTGCCCTCAAAAAGCCACGCAGTCTAGTGCTGAGCAGAGAATTTTACCAAAATAAACCAGACAAAAGAAGGCTGGCATAGGGCGAAGTTGGAAGAGGCCGAGCAGGCTCGGGCAGCATTCAAGCCTGGTCTCCGCGGCACTGTGAGTCACAGCATTCATGCCCAGCCAGTGGAACTAATTACCTGACAAAAAGACAGACTAGCAACGTCGGCTCTGAAATTAAAATCACCCCAACCACGTCCTGATCTCTTCACAAACAGATTACAGGCGAATCAATTTTGCTCATCTAGGCCTTCACGCCTGTTAATTTCTTGCAGGCGCTTTGTCAAGATCCAGAGGACAAATGACAGGGAGAAGGACAATGTCTGAGATAAAAGAGGGGATGATATAACCAGCAGAGCATTAGAATGTCCTGCTACTTAAGTACAAATCCTCTTTCTTGCGGATCCATAAACCCCTATCAGAAGCACAAAGAGTGTCTGATGCAGGCCCTGCGGTTTATCTCTGGCAACCAAAACAAGAAGGCTCTGCCAGCTGTGGCTCCGTTTAGTTTCTTGAATTTTCTCCTCTATCCCTGTGACAACTGGAATTGACGTAAAAAAGAGAAATTAT